GGGCAGTGGCCGAGGGGTCCGACTTTGGTTATTGCCCGGCTGGTCACAGGGCCACACCCGGCATGTACATTCACGAGTTATAATAACATTTTTTTAAAGTTTTTGCTTTTTTCCCCCCCTTAATCTCAAAAGGCTGAGGAGGGGGGCTTGGGGGGGGCTAGGCAAAAAGAGCAGCAGCAACAGGAAAAGAATGTCACTCTCTAGTTGGGAGGGGACCCTCAGACTCTGGTCACTGCTGCGGACAGGGCTATGGCCCCTGCCTCTGACCACACCCTCTCCAAGGACGCCCCCTCCCCCTGGATCCCCCACCTGCAGCCCAGGAGCCTAGGTACGCGCTCCCGTCACGCACGCGAGCACACGCACGCACCCACCAAAGTTCGTCAAGATGATGGAAATAACAATTTTGCTTTTTTTTTTTTTTTTTTGCTTTTTTTTGTACCAGGCAGTTAAAAAAAAAACAAAACAAAAAACACCCCGAAACAAAAAAGAAAACACAAAAAAACCCCACAAACAACCGAACAGGAACAAAAAGAAAACCCCAATTGCGGTCCTTTCTGACGAGTCAGCCCTCCTCAACGTTATTATTTTTTTCCATTCGTTTGTTTCCTGAAACGCGAGAATTCAGCAGTATCTTTGGCAACACTTTATCACGACCTTAATTTAAAGAATAAAAATAAAATCGATCCATGTCTATATACAGTATGTGATTGCGCGGGAACTGGGGCGGCGTGGGTGGGGTTGGGGGGCTAGGAGGCGGGGAGGGGGCACAGGGAGTCCCCGCTCTGGGCCCATGCAGACTGTGGCCCCTAAGGAGGCCGCAGGAGGAGGTTAAGGCAGAGTAGGGGTGGGGCTGGCGGAAGCTGAGCACGGAGCTCGGGGAAACGGTTTAGTGCAATTCCCCGAGGAGGGTGGTGTTAAAGTGTTGCCTGGGGGCGCTGCAGCCCTGGTTTCTATTTGAAATCCCAGAGGGCTCCTGTCCCCCAAGTCTGGTCGCCCCCACTGGCCAGGACATCTGTGATTTTTGTTTCAATTGGTTTTATTGCGAGGGGGTGCATGGGAGGGGGAAGAGGTCTCTCCCCTCAGGGCTCACCTTTCTGGGTGTTGGGGGAGGCAGCAAGGTTTGGGGGCAGCCTGGAGGGGGGCGGGGATCCCTGTTCAGCATCCAGAATGAGTCGCCTAAAATAGCTCTCCCTATCACTTTCAAGTGTGAAGGCCACAATCTATTGCCCCCTGGTCCTGCCCCCCTCCGCCCACCCCAGAGGGAGGATCCTGAGACTTGGGGGGAGGGGGCTGGAGGGGAGGGGGGAGTAGTCTGACAGGCTTGCTTGAAAGAAGGGAAGAAAACAACGGCATAGAAACCATGATGAAAACTGCCTTCTTAAAAAGTTTCCCTTGAAGAAATGAAAGAAAAAAAAAAAAAAGACAAGACACTGTGTTGGGCACGGGGGTGGGGGAGTGGGGGGGTGGAGACAGTCTGGCAGCTGAGGCGGGGAGCAGAGATGACCACCCCCCCCACCCCCACCCTTGGGCTTTGACAAGAACTGTCCCTTTAGCAGAGTGTCTATTTACAGGGTCCCACGTCAGGATTTGCATATGCAAGAGGGGGTTGGGGTGAGGGTGCCCTGGCATCTGGAAATGTCATCCCCCCAACCCTGGTCCCTATCCGTGGCCTGAGGCTCGGTCAGCACCGGGCCTTTTGGGAGCCAGGTTGAGGGGAGGCAAGTGCCAGCCCCCAGAGTACAGTCAGTGCCTTTGAGTAAGAAGGGGGGGTGCAGGGGAGCGAGTAGAAGGAGAGGTAGGGCTCCCTTTTGTGGCCCACCTGGATGCTCCCTGGTGGGCATGGGAAAGGGCAGCCATGTTGGAAGGAAGCCCAACTGCAGGCAAGCAGGAGGCGGGGCAGGGAGAAGGAAGGTGGTGCGTTGGGTGGAGACTGAATGACTGGCTGGTTGGAAGGCCAGCCCTCTCTCGGGTCCCTTCCCTGAGATAGGGGATTACAGGAGGAGGGTCCCCCCCTCCATAGAGATGGCCACTGGTATGGCTAGGAGGGGCTGTATGGGGGTGTGTGAGACCTTCTCCACATCAGGAGGGAACAAAAAGAAAACAGAATGGAAGGGCAACAAACACAACAAACACAAACCCCCCACGGTCGGTCCTGCCTTAAATTCCAGCTTCTCAGTGGAGTGCGGACACCCGGACACCTGGACACCTGGGAAGGCCTGCCTTTCCTTTCCCAAGGCCTACCTGACCCCTCCCCTCGGGAAACAGAAGTGGATTCTTCGATTGTGGTGGGTTTTCGTTTTATTATTTTGTACAAAAATAAATCGGCTTTTAGGAATTTCTTTTGCTCTCTCTCTCTCTCTCCTCTCTTTTTTTTGTCTTTTCAACTTTTCATAGAAGTTGGTTACAACTTGTAAACATGTTTGTTTGTTTGTTTTAAATTAAGAATTAAGCTAAAGTGTAAGTACCCGTTCTGTGACAAAGTGCCAAGATTTCGAATGCGGTGGGTTGCCTTTTTTGTGTTGCTATGTGTTTTGTCTGTCTTTTCCTTTTCTAAAATCGGTTGGCTTTTGTTATTGCTTTTTAAAAATTTTGTGGCATTGTAACTTCTAGACTTTTCTCCTCCCCTGCCCTTCCCGGGTGGTCCATTCCTGCCATCTGAGACCCTCTGCTCTCAGCTACACCCCACCCCCCTGCTGTCCGCTCCTCTGAGGAAAAGTATATTATATATATATCTATATATATCTATATATAAATTTTGTTTTTTAAGAGAAGGGGGGGGGGCGGAATCTAAAAAGTGCTTTCTTTAAAAATTGGGTAAAGGGGTCCGGGGAAGGAGAAGACCTAAGTGTTGGCTTTCCAAACTCTCAAAGGGGGCAGAGGGCAGGCCAGGCAGCCTGGAGTTGGGAGGCTGCCCCAGGGGCTGGTCCTCAGGGGTTCCTGCCTTGTTGTAAGTGCCGTGAATGGAGGTGGCAGGACCCCAGGGGGGGCCATCCTGGTGGAGGGTGCCCCCCTCCCCATGTCTTAACCCCTTTCTCTCCGGGCCGAAATAAATAGATTTGTGTCTCCTTGGCCAGGAGACAAGGGGTGGGTGAGTGAGAGGCCAGAGCAGAAGGGAGGTGGGAAGGCCTTTGGGGAGATCGTCAGGGGGAGACCCCCCCCCTTAGTAAGTGCCCTGAGGAAGGAGGGTGGGGGGGGGTCGGGGGCCATTTTAACGTCCGCTCACAGCGGACAGAAGCATGTTTAAGGTCTTGTCTAAAAGACCCGCACAAACCAGAGAGTAGAGGGAAGCATTCAGCTGTCTCCAGCAGCGCCCCCTTCCCCAGCGCCCCAACTCCAGCCCAGGGCCTGGCGTGGGGTGGGCCGTGACGCTGGGGGAAGCGAGGGTCAGGAGGGCGGGGACTGGAAACCGCTGTACCCCACCAAACCTCCCAACCCAGATCCCCGCAACCTAGCGACAGGGCGGAGGGTCCCTGCTGTGGGAGAAAACGTCATAAAGGAGAAAAATCTAAGAAAAGCACTATCCTAAAATCTGTGATGTTTCATATATATATATCTGTATATATATATAGAGATATAGATATCTGTATATAGATTTTCTTTTTTTGTGTTTTTTTCGGGGGGTGGGGTGCGGG